ATTACAACATCTATTTAAGTTTGCCGCCTTTACCATGCATTGTACGAAGTCCATCTTCATCCCAACTTACTACTTTGAAGTAATTATAATCACGAAGCTATAAATATTTTCCTTCTGTAGGTGGTCTAATTTTATACTCATCAGATTTAGAACCTACACTGAAAACTGTAACTTCAGATCAATGACTCCTCTTTATAAAAACAAAGAAAAGCAACCCTCTTCCCCCCACTCAACAAACTATTGCAACTTCAGATGGCTTTGGAGCCAAAATGACATGGAGATGTTTTGGTAGATCACATGCAATGAAACCATGACATTTAGAGAAAGCTTATCTGGAATGATAACCCAATTAAATGCATTCCTGGGATTTCTACAAGAAATTCACCAGTTAATATTGAGACAGTTGAGAGACAGTAGGGTTTTATTTATTATTTGTATCATAAGGCTTAGGAGCCAACCAAACCCAAAAACCACAATTAAAAAAAAAAACCCAGCTGAGAGAACAGTCTACTTTATTTTATGTATAATGATCCTTTCAGGGATCCAGTTAACTAACACTACACATATGTACTGGAATTGGATCATTTTCATATCCCCACCCCCAACAGATGATGTATATGTTTTATGAGTAAATATCCCCAGTCTTACCAAAACTGCATTGTTTCATTAATTTACTCAGTTTTTCTTCAGATTTCTGTCTCATCTACATTCTGGGTATTATATTGTTCTAGTGCTCTTTCCAAATGAAATCTTAATTATATGGGTTTGTCAGCCTAAGTAGCTCGTTGAATTAATACTCTAGGCTATGTAATGCCTCTCAGCATGGAATGCAGGTGCCTCATTTCAGATTAACTTATTCACTGTAACTGGTATCCATAACTAAATAATGTTCCTTTAAACTTAAGTCCAAAGTAGCTCTTATTAAAGTAATATTGGCTATGGGAATTTGTTTAATACATTGTTTTTCTAATGAAATGCATGAAACTCTGGACCGATGACATAACCGACATCACAATGCACAAGTTAAATGAGATTTCCTCCTCCCTTGGAATGAACAGGAGCAAGATGGCCCAATGTCGCACACAAAATTTTGCAAAATAGGAAACAAGCTGAGCAATCTCAAAAGGCAACATAAGAGCAAACCAGTTTTTTCCAGCTTCTGTTTTAAGTCATTCTATCACACTATAGATTAACTGAAAGCTGATTCTTCCACTGAAAGCAGGCTGCAGTAGCCATGCCAGCACATTCACCTATTGTTCTGCAGACCACTATGACTCAAATCTTGCAATCTCTATTCTTAAAGACATGTATCCTTAAAGCAACAAGACAGATGGATGGGTAAGCACTTTTCAGGCCAAAAGAGATCAAGAGTAGACCTTCAACCAATCACATTAACAGTAACTTGTAACTTCAGGTAATCAGTGTTAAAACTTGGTTAAGCTCAATGCTTTCTGCATCAGTAAATTTGCTTCCACAAGACTGGGCCTACTTATGAGAAGCGTATGTCAGAAAATACAAGCTGTGTCCATGTGTGGCAATACCTTTTTGGAACCCTTATCAAGACTTTAGGTAGGGGTGCATCAATAAAGATTTTTTGAGCTGATACTTATGGCCATTATTGACCAGCCATATCAGTTGATACCAATCCCATTGCTGATATGTAGCCTGGGAAATTGAAGAACAGCGTTTGGCCAGTAAGTCTTTTGGGGGAAAGGGGCATAGGGGGGTGTGGATTGAGACTCCACGGTGAGGGAGGGAGTAGGAGTGGGGCTGGGGCAGGCGTTACTCAGTAAGAGTGGGGCAGGGCACGGGATGGAGTCAATTGCCAACAATGTCAATTTTCCTTTTATCGTTGCTGATATGATATGCACCTCTATGATGCAACTCTAATTTTGGGGTAATATTTCAATTCAGGACAAGGTGCTCATGAGGCCAGGATTAGACTAAGCAGGCTGTACAAAGTCATCAGCATTCCTAAATCTATCTACATGCATTTCACATCTTAATTCTTTCTGTGTTACTGAAATATTAAGTCTCTATAACTTGTGCAAAAATTATGAAGTGAAAATATAAAAGGCATCATAGACAGATCTCAGCAACACAGCTAATGCTGTCTGTCCATAAGGTGAGGGAGTTGCTCTTTATTAGAAAAAACCTTTAGTCCAATATCACAGCAGCACCATCTGTGAAGTAAGCTAATTATCCTTCTACCTGCCTTTATTGTGTCAGTTATTGCCTTGGCTATGCTTGCTGCACCTAGGATACCAATTGGCTCCATGAAAGAAATGCGTCCACTTACTGCTGATTTCCCAGAGCCTGGACACAAATGCATTTCTCCTAATCTATTTTATTGGCTTTAAATTGCATTTTTCAACCTTTACTGTTTGCCTCTATTCAGCTTTTTTAACATCTGTTACTGAAGAACTCTGAAGGCGAGTTAAACCCTGGCATTATTGATTAGGTCAATAGTGTGGCACATATCAACAGTTTTACTGCCAAACCATAAGTGCTGAAGAAATCCTTTTTCCTGAAGATGGTGGTAGTCATGGAATGACACTTCACACCAACCTAATGGAAAAACAGGAACATCTCGTGTGGTTGCTAGAAGAATACAGTGACAAGGATAGCTGAAATACATCAGTTCCAATTGCCGCCACAGTACAGACAAATGATGAGGGAAGCCATGCTATACACGATCAGTTAACTACATTTAGTAGATCTGCAACAATACATTGATCCATATTGTATCAGCACTGATAAAAGAAAAACTGACATTATCAGCAATCGGATTGTTTTGCCTAATGTGGCCAATAACGTCATCCATAAATGCTGTGTGCACGTGAGCAGCCGCAACATGCATGCAGCGAGAAGTGCAGCACCTGCCTGGTAAGTCCACTGGGGGAAAGGGGCATAGGGGAAGGATGGGACAGGACAGATCGAGGCCCATGTGGTGAGGGAGGGAGTGTGCCAGGGGCAGGCGCTATACAGCCAGGGTGGGGTGGAGGGAGGCAAGTGGGGCATGTGCCCCCCAGATCTGTGCACATGGCAAGGGCGGGCTGCCATTGTGAACTAGTGGCTGGGGCTGCTCCAGCCTCTTCTCGGCGGCTGCACTCAGGCCAGGCAGTGGCGGTGGGTCTACAGGGGAGCTAGAGGCACCCCAAAATTCACTGTAGCTCTAGCCCCCACCTCCCCATAGCCCTGCTTTCCAGCACTGCCACCACCTGGCCCGCCCCACCCAGCCCAAGCGCAGCCTCGGAAAGAGGCTGGAGCAGCACTGGCCCTGAGCGCACACCAGCAGCTTGCCCTTGCCCTTGCCCTGTGCATAGATCCAGGGGGCACATGCTCCCTGGGGGTGCACAGTGGCGGAAGCTGCTCCCCTGCCCCTCCTGGACAAGCCGCCAGCTCCATCCTATGCCCCGCCCCACTCTGGCTAGGCAGCACCTGCCCCAGCCCCACTCCCTCCCTCACCACAGG